TGCTGTCTTCCTTTTTAGGTCTTACAGCTTCAAACTAGCAAAAAAGGGTGAAGAAATTGGGCCATTTTTCACAGATTGAAAAATGTGTCCCTGCAGCACAAAAGCAGTGTTAAGTCGCTGGGGTATATTTGCAGCAATAGCCAACAATACATTGTATGGGTCACAATTATCCATTTCTCTTTTATGCCAAAAATCATTAGGATATTAAGTAAAGATCATGTTCCTTGAAGATATTTAGTAAATGTCCTACCGTAAATATATCAAAACTTAATGTTTGATTAGTAATATGCATTGCTAAGAACTTCATTTGAACAACTTTAAAGATGATTTTCTCAATATTTAGATTTTTTTGCACCCTCAGATTCCAGATTTTCAAATAGTTGTATCTCAGCCAAATATTGTGCTATCCTAACAAACCATACATCAGTGGAAAGATTATTTATTCAGCTTTCAGCTGATGCATAAATCTCAATTTCAAAAAATTGACCCTTATGACTGGTTTTGTGCTCCAGGGTCACAAATATGCTCCTTTAACTTTATCTTAGGGCCCTTGGGATTTTATACTGATCAATCTTTAAACCAAACAATAATTAATTTCATCACTTTTGGCATGCAGGCTCATAAACTGCTGGGAGGTTCACTAATGTAATCTGAAGCAGAATATCCCATACACATGGGAAAGACATGGGGAGGTAAAGTTTAGCTTAGTGTCTGGCTTTGCTTACATTCTTACAGACAGTTATATCCTAAAATAGATTCCCCTCTTGTCTTCTCCCAACATATCTCAATGTGTATCTCCATACTGGATGTGCAAAAACAGCATTAATGTCTCTCGAGCTGTCTAGCTGTACCATTTTGTTAAAGTACAGTTAGATTTTTATAGCTGGTTTTATGATTTTCGATGCTCATCATGTCGTAACAAACTGATGATGCTTTTTTTGTGCTCAGAATTACATAAAAAGTCAGTTAACCATAGTGCGTGAATGGAAATGCACTGGTGAGCTTTTAATAACCATGCAAAAAAAAAAAAATGTATATAATAATTATTAAACATCCTTAATTATTACATTATGAATCGGAATTGTTCTGGAAATGCAGAACTGTTAATCGTTTTCGGAAAATCAGAATATTACGGCACGATCCTTGAATCTACCCAGAGGTGTGTAATGAAATATTTAGCACTCTGCTCTCGTAACCTTTCATGTGTCCTCATTTGTGCATTCAAGGTGGAAACCATTGGCGATGCGTACTGTGTAGCTGGAGGCTTGCACAAAGAGAGTCCGACTCATGCTGAACAGATTGCTCTCATGGCTCTGAAGATGATGGACTTGTCTGATGAAGTCACGACTCCCATGGGAGAGGTTATCAAGGTTAGCGTTTCTTAATTCAGTTACAGCATGAATATGAACGAATCACTAAATTTTGAACACACTTATTTAATTTTCTCACATTTCTCATGCAAACCTTTGCTAGAGACAAAATAATGCAACTGCTTCAACAAGATTGGTGGTTAGTAAAATAAGAAAGTCTGCATTTAAAACCAAAGCGTGACTCATTTACACAGAATGCTTGTATATTTTTGTGCAAACACGCACTACACTATGAATGGTTTTTGAAAGGTCACTTCTAATGTGTCCTGTTTTAGACTCAAAAATAGCCATTCGATTTTTTTCTTAACAATGCAATTGTTCGAATTCTAATTATAATATGAATACCGCTGCTTTAGATGCAAAACTATGATAATTTTATATAACAAACATTCATCTCGGAGAAAGGTCGTATTTATGTTTGTTTGAAGATTGAGTTTGATCTTCTGTATTATCATTGTTTTAATACATTTGCATTTAGTCATTTAGCAGATGCTTTTATTCAAATGAGGACAATAGAAGCAGTCAAAATCAACAAAATGCAATGATATGCAAGTGCTATAACAAGTCTCAGTTAGCTTAACACATAGCAAGGTTTTTTTAAATCATATAAAAAACAGATAGAATAGGAAAAATAAATAGTGTTAGAAGCCTTTTTTTTTGCTTTTGTTAGTTAGTTAGTAAATAAAAAGAAAACAAATAGAATACAAAACGATTAGAGAAGCTAGTGTTCTTAAAAGAATACAAGCAGTAAATAAATAGAGTGCAAGTCTAAAAGGGACAAGATTTTTTTGTGTGTGTAAAGAATAGAATTAGAATAGAGAGTGCTAGAGTTAGAGGGTCACATAAAGATGTAAGATATATTTAATAACACATATATTGGAAAGCAGAGGCATCAAGGGGCTAAAATGGGCGCAGAATTGTTAATATTTCATATGGTTTGAAATAAAGAATTTAAAAATCTCTTTTTTTTAAGGGAATCTTTGCTTTGTTTTATTCTCAGATGCGTATCGGGATCCACTCTGGCTCGGTTTTGGGCGGCGTTGTCGGTGTTAAAATGCCCCGCTACTGTCTCTTTGGCAATAACGTCACATTGGCCAACAAGTTTGAGTCTTGTAGCCTGCCGAGAAAGATTAACGTCAGTCCCACCACGTACAGGTATAAACACAGACACGGCTCTCCTGTTTGTTTATTCTGTATACAGTACTTCTTGGCAAGTGTGATTGACTAAAGGTTTTTATTATTTGAATCAGCATAGTTCTAATTCTCTTACACAGTTTTGAATTTTAAGTGAGAGTAAATTCAGTTTTACACACTGACAGCGAGGCATCAGCAGATTGTATGAAAAAGACTGTACGAAATTTGCCAAAATGTAAAATAGTTACAAACTGCTATGCGAGTGTTGATTATATACAATATATACAGCTCTGGAAAAAAATTGAGGCCACTTGAAAATTCTCAGTTTCTCTAGTTTAGTGTTTTTCATTCATTATGATTTAAAATCATGGTTATTCCACCAAATATTGATTTCTCAACTGATGTTAGAAAATTGGTATTGTGTCGCCTAAAATTTAATATAAACATGTCTGAAAACATGGTATCTTGGCATCCAGTTGTCATTTCATGCTTTTACATTTATATTATTAAAATTAGGAAGAAATGTCATCAGAATAAAACAAAAAATGATGCTTTACTCAAACGCTTAACTGTAAATCCAGAGAAACTGAGAAGTGGTCTCTTAATGTATATTATTTCCCGACATTGGTCACATTTATAACAAACTAGTCCAAAACTCTGAATTAATTCCCTTTTTTTTTGTCGATTATTGTACAATAAGGTGTGAGTAAAAGCAACAGCATTTATTTGACGTAAACAAAGAACAGGCGCATTCCACCGAATGGATCTGTGTTTCAAGAATAACACATGAAGATCTGCCTTATTAAATCAAAAAGTATTTTTGTCATATTCCACAGACAGCTTCACTGTGTACCTGCGTGTGGCTTTCAGGACGATGAGTTACTTCTCTCTCATTTCAGATTGTTAAAAGATCGTCCAGAGTTCATTCTCATCCCCCGGACGAGAGAGGATCTTCCGCTTAACTTTCCCGCCAACATCCCTGGAGTTTGTTACTTTCTCCAGGCTCACGATCAGAAGACGAGTGCTGCTTCCAGACGCTGTGCTACATGAACCGTGAAAGCGTAAAACCTGGAAACAGTGGGCTAACACTGCGTGTCGTTTTAGTTGAGCCAGAGTTTATCATGTTGCCAAATAACACTATCGTAGAAGGGTTTCACTGTGCACTGTGTTTTTGTCCACAGTAGTCCTGAGATTTAGTTTTGCCAGAACCTCTTTTGTTTTAATATTGTGTTTATTTTGACGTCCTGACTGTACACCAAAAATCTAAAATGCAAAGAATGTCAAACACGTGACTATTACGTCAATAGAGTAAACCATACACAGTAAAGACTCACCTCGGCAGAGCCCGACCAAGTAAACATTGTGACTTTTTTTTGTATTGTAATAGATCTGTAATAAACATGCTTTACTCAAGGTTTGGTTTAATCTCAATGTTTCAGTGCGACCTGCTCTTTTCATGAAGAGAGTGAAAGAGAGACCACAAGAGAGCGCTTAACACTGGTCTTAATGTTGTATTAACATAATAACATAACAGGGGTTATGTGTGGTTTCATATGGTAATATATCAGACGTACAATACTAAAATGCTATGCTAAAAAAGTTTTTGAATGGTAAGATTTTTAATGTTTTTAAAGAATTGTCTTCTGCTCACCAAGCCTGCATTTATTTGATCAGAAATACAGTAAAAGCAGTAATATTGTGAAATATTATTAGAATGTAAAACAGCTGTTTTCTATGTGAATCTCTGTTAAACTGTAATGTATTTCTGTGATGCGCAGCTGTATTTTCAGCATCATTCCTCCAGTCTTCAGTGTCACATGATCTTCAGAAATCACTATAATATGCTGATCTGCTGCTAATATTCACATAGAAAGCACTTATTTTAAAATGTAATACTATTTCACAATATTACAGCTTTTGCTGTATTTCTGATCAAATAAATGCAGGCTTGGTGAACAGAAGAGACTTTAAAAAAAACATTAAAAATGTTGACTGGTAGTGTATATTTACAAAATTTTAGAAACAGAAATCCAGCAAGGTTTTATTAATTGTTTCAGAATATAAAAAACTAATTTGATAAATTAGAGAAATATCACATCTTGCTATCTCATGTAGTGACTATCAAACTAACTAAGCGCAGAGCGTAAGCTTCATGAAAAATATAAAATAATAGCAAAATCAGTGGTGCATGAAATGACTAACTATTTTTCTTAATTTGATGCCTCTTTTCATTAATTAGATTGATTACAATCTATTTCTAAGTAAAGATAACATCTGACAGCATTCCACTTGCTAAAGCTTAGTCGATTAATATTAATAAGGTCATGCTGGCGTTGCTTGGTAACCCTCTCAGAGCGTACTGGACCTAACCTAATTATTATTCATGACCCAGGTCTTCATAAGCGTCCACCCACTAGCTCGCAGCCAATCAGGTAGGTACTGTGGACAAACGTCTTGTCGCGTCATCAATATTCATGAGCCAATCCTGGCTCCGGGATGAGGATGCTGCTGCAGCGCTTCTCGCATCCCGTTGGCTGCATCCTCCGTCAGTAACGATGCGCTCGGTTCAGAAATGGAGGCTTCACTCCTAACAGCTGTATGGTTTGTCAGTGCTCTTGTTTAGGGATTTAAGAGATCAGAAACAAACAGAGGATTGGCGAATTAATCCAAACATGGTATGTAGCAATAATCTGATTGCGGTTTTACGTGTCTTTTATTTATTCTCGTGCCACTCTTCATGTAATTATTTGCTCTGCTACTTACGGTAGCGTCGAATGTGTAAAAGCGATGCAAGTAATGCATGACTCAAATATGTAATTATACGTATTATAGGTGAATAATTGCTGTGTGATATAACACATTGATGTTCATCACAGCTCATGTTTTGATTTACGCACACAAAGCACTACAGCACATCTGTATAGATGGCATGTTGAAGATGTAAACAATGAAAAGGCAAATAATGCATTATTCTGCAATTACCGGTAGTGTAAATGCATATAACATATTATTATATTGTGTTTGAATTGCACAACTGTATAATACACTTTTTTTTTGGCAGTACGGTTTTGTGAACCATGCACTGGAACTTCTGGTGCTGAGAAATTATGGTCCAGATGTGTGGGAGGACATCAAGTGAGTTCTCTGTTACATCAAAACATACAACATTCAACATTCTTATTGTTTCATTTATTATTTGTTTTTGCATTTATGTGCACTCTATATTCTATTAGAAATATGTGTGTACTGTACATATAGTAGATGATATCAATATTAATTTAATTAAATACTGCACTTTATTGTACATGTACGTTGTAAAATATAGTATTGTATGTGTACATTTATGGTTAGTTGTAACTCTGTGTTTATAAAGCGGAGAGTTCCGGTGCTTGGCTCTGATTGGCTGATTGTGAATGACGCTACAAAGTAACACACACCTTTGTTTACATTTGTGTGTTGCTCGGCAACCACTTTGTAGCAACCACAACTGTTTCTGAGGAGCTACATTGTTTGGTGGAAGAATACTGTGTTTATTAATATCATTACACTTTATTTGCTCTGCTTTATTCTGTGAAACATTGCTACGTATATGGAATAACCGTTTTATAAAAGCAATAACCCCCGTGAAGCCGTGGTTTACAGTGCATTTATAACAGCTAAGAGGGTATATATTATAACTCGTGCCTAGCAACGCCCCTCAGCTGTTATAAATTCACTGTAAACCACGGCGTCACGTGGGTTATTGCTTTATTAGGTGTGCCTAACTTCATTGTTGCTGACTACTTTTTCAGTTGGGTAGACGGATTTCACTACTTTAAATATTGAGTAGCATTTTGCAACCTGCATAACCGCTTTTCACTGCTTTTCCTCATACTCACTCAGTTCAGCTCAGCAGCATTCTGCTCTTTGCATCCTCACATTAAGATCAGCTTGTTCTCTCCTTCAGAATCTGGATGCATTGCATGATCATCTAGGCACCATCTACCCCGGCATGCGCGCGCCCTCCTTCCGCTGCACGGATGCGGAGCGAGGGAACAACCTCATTCTGCACTATTACTCTGAGAGAGAGGGTCTTCAGGACATCGTCATTGGGATCATCAAGACGGTTGCACAGCAGATTCATGGAACTGAGATTGAGATGAAGGTCTGCTTGTGCTGTGAGCGTCCTCACATAGAGATCGATTATTTTAGAAAAGGACTTAGTACTTTTATTCAGCAAGAATGCATTACATTGACTGAAAGTGACAGAAAAGACAAAAAAAAAATTATGTTTCAAATAAATGCTGTTTGAACTTTCTATTCATTAAAGAATCGTAAATAAAACACTGATAATAATAAACTTGAAAATGAAGACTGCGGTAATGATACTGAAAATTCACAAGAATATATATATATATATAATCTTAATCTATATATACAGTATAATATAATAACATGTATAAATATATAAAATAAGACAAACAAACAGTAATGTGCGTGCTCAATTCTGCACTCATCTAAACATGACTGGAGGTAGATTTACTCTCGTTCTCACCGAGAGAGGCTCATCGATAAACAACATTATGATGAACTCCCTGTGGTGTATTCTTTGTCACCTCGCTTCAGTCTCGGACATATTTTTCAAATAAATCCCCCTCAGCCAATAAGAGCTAATCATGCCCCAGACGGCAGACTGCTCTTTCTGTCTCTCGCTCTCTCTCTCTCTCTCTCTCTCTCTCTCTCTCTCTCCATCTGGGCTTAGTGTGAAACTTAGCCATCATCGTCATGGTGACAGCAGGGCAAAGAGACAGCGACTTGACGTCAGTGAAATGGGCTCAACTTCAAGCTGAGAGAGAAAAAACAACAGCTTCTCTGCATTCAGCCCAGGCTGATATGAGTCTACAGTTAAACAGCTTTTAGGGCCATTTTCAGTGATATTGCTGAAGAGAAAACAGAGAGAGAGAGCACGCTGCAAACAGGGTCTTCATTACGTAAAAAATTCCTAAAGTTATTTCTGTATTTGACTCCTACTTAAATACACTAAACATTCTCCTTTATTAAACACTCAGACGCACTTGAAGCTCTAACTTTCTCTTTGCTTAGTCTACATGCGATGCGAGGACTCAGGAGCACTTGACAGAAGATGCAAAAAACAAGTTAATCTCAGTCAACAGCATTTGTGGCGTAATGCTGACAATGCTAAAAAAAAATATGTAGCTTATAAGTTTATACATGCAAGTTATTGTATTCTGTTATTATTCTGTTCTAGTCTATTATTATTATTATTCCGTTAAAACTTATTTTAACTATGAAGCTGTTTAAATCATTTAGTCATTTTAGACAAAATTGTAAAAAAGTTGTGAAAAACCTTTTTTCCCCCCACACTAAAATCATGTTAACACACACATTGTTTATGTTTATATCTTGTGGCTATTATTTACAGATTGGCCTCATTCACATGTATTGTTTTTTTGTTTTGTTTTTTACGAAATTAGTGTTTTGTTTAGTTTTGGTTTAAAAATGAATCACAAGCAGTACAGAACATAATCAGCACATATGTAAGATAATAAAATCAATAGATAAATAAATAAATGCATAAAATAAATAAACTAGCATAAATGAATGAATAAAAATTATATAATTAAACTGTATATATGCACATATATATATATATGCATACAGTAAAACAAGAGTTTATTTAAAAAAAATTCTAAACACTATTATTGACTATTATTAATGATATTTGAATCAGATTTTCTTTTTTTCTGTTTTCATTTAAATTTTAGTTAGTTTTAGAATTTTTGTTTTGTGTTTTTGTCATTTTTATTAATATCTATATAGTTTTTATTAAGATTTAGCTTTTAGTTTATTTAGTATTTTAGTACTTAAATGAAAACGAGAAATGTTGCATGGCCACTGGCTGAAATAAAATACATGTTACATTGTTTCAGTTAATGTTTGTGTTATTTCAAGTGATTTTTAAATGGTTAAGGATAACCTTGTATCAGTGCATGATCTTCACACTGTGGGGTTCCACATTTAATGTTTGGAAATGCAAATGTGTTATTTGTGGGGTGTTCCAGGTCATTCAGCAGAAGAGTGAAGAATGTGATCACATTAAGTTCTTGATTGAGGAGAAGGACTCGGAGGAGGAGGCGTTTTATGAAGACCTGGATGGTTTCGAGGAGAACGGGACTCAAGAGACGCGGATCAGTCCTTATACCTTCTGCAAGGCTTTCCCGTTCCACCTGATGTTCGACAGGGAGCTCATGCTCACACAGTGTGGCAATGCTATCTTCAGAGTTCTGCCGCAGGTTCGTCTGCTCAGAAATGATTGTCTATTATTGAAATGATGGAGAACAATGTGAAGTGATGTGTGTCATCTTCCAGCTGCAGCCTGGCGTCTGTAACCTGTCCTCAGTGTTTTCTCTGGTGCGGCCGCACATAGACTTCAGTTTCCATGGCATTCTGTCTCACATCAACACCGTCTTTGTGCTGCGGAGCAAGGTCTGTCTGCCCCAAAATACATCTGATATAAAACCACCAACACTCATTCACTACAATGTTGTTAGTTTCTGACATAAATTGTGTTTACTAGTTCTACAGTACATGTCACACACTCATATACAAATTAGTGCTGTCACAATATCAGATTTGTAACTACATGTTCATGGTGGACAAAATAATTAATGCGATATCTATAGAAATATGAAATATGCTATCAGTCAAATTCATATTTAACCATTCAGTGGATTCAAAGCTACGAGAAAAGTACAACAATTGATGAGAATACCAACACAGTTTTACTCCAAACTCACGTTATAGCGTCAATTGAGCGTTTGAAATAACTTCTTTCTGTGAATTGATGTGGCTTCGTATCATGCAGAAATTATATTATTTCATAGTATTCTATACAGTGATAAAGGCAATAAAGGCTCTCATTGTATTATAAATATACATTATCCTTATAAAAAAAAGAAGGCTTAAAGAACACAGATAAAACAAATACTGTTGCAATGGTGTGATAATTCTCTTCATTTTTCGTCAGTCAAAACATTTCTTCTGCATTTTATTCGGCTACAGCGATAGCTGGATTTATTTGTCCGTATAATGGATTTCATGCAAAGTTGTTTTCGTACTCCTTTGAGTCTCACTTGTGGACTTTCTGTGCGAGTATGAACGATACATAAATTACACGTGAGAGTTTAGAGCTGTGTATCATGATTATCGTTAATACCGGTATATCACGACATCCCTAATTAACACGATAACAATATTTCATTATTTAAATATCACGGTTATTGTCAATACCTGTATATTACGACACTGCTAATTAACACGATAACGATATAAAAAAAATTTATAGAACGATTATCGTCAATACCGGTATATCGCAACACCCCTAATTATCAGAATAACAATATTTCATTTTTGTAAATATTACGACTATCGTCAATGCAGGTATATTGCGACATCCCTATTTAACACGATTATGATATTTGATTTTTTTTAAATAACGATTATCGTCAATATCGATATATTGCAACACCGCTGATTACCATGATAACGATATTTCATTTTTTAAATATAACGATTATCGTCAATACGGATATATTGCAACACCCCTGATTACCATGATAACGATATTACATTTTTTAAATAACGATTATCGTCAATACCGATATATTGCAACACCGCTGATTACCATGATAACGATATTTCATTTTTAAAATATAACGATTATCGTCAATACCTGTATATCGTGACACCGTTAATTACCATGATAACGATATTTAATTTTTTTAAAAATCAAGACTATCGTCAGTACCTGTATATCGCGACACCGCTAATTAACACGATAATGATATTTAATTTTTAAAATACAACGATTATTGTCACTACCTGTATATCGCGACACAGCTAATAAACACGATAATGATATTTCATTTTTAAGAAATAACGATTATTGCCAATACATGTATATCGTGACACCGCTAATTAACATAATAACGATATTTAATTTTTTAAATATAATGATTATCGTCAATACATGTATATCGCGACACCAGTAATTACCACGATAACGATATTTAATTTTTTAAATATCACGACTATCGTCAATACCTGTATATTGCGACACGATAATTAACATGATAACGATATTTAATTTTTTTAAATATAACGATAATCGAATATACCTGTATATTATGACACCCCTAGTTAACACGATAACGATATTAAATTTTTTTAATATAACGATTATCGTCAATACCGGTATATCACGACACCCCTAATTATCACAATAGCGAAATTTAATTTTTTTTAAATAACGATTATCGTCAATACCGGTATATTGCGACACCCCTGATTACCATGATAACAATATTTATTTTTTTAAATATCACGATTATTGTCAATACCTGTATATCACAACACCACTAATTAGCACGATAACAATATTTAATTTTTTTAATATGATCATCGAATATACCTGTATATTATGACACCCCTAATTAACACGATAAAGATTTCATTTTTTTAAATATCACGATTATCGTCAATACCTGTATATCGCGACACTGCTAATTAACACGATAACGATATTTAATTTTTTTAAATATAAGGATTATCATCAGTACCAGAATATTGTGACACACCTGATACAAAAACAAGAATAACAGTGCATGTTTAAAAAAAATTTAATTTGAAATGTATTGTAATGAAACTACACGACACGAGGTTTGTTTATGGCTTCATGCAGGAGGGCCTGTTGAACGTAGAGACTGCGGAGAGTGAAGATGAACTCACAGGAACAGAGATCAGCTGTCTCAGACTGAAGGGCCAGATGATCTCACTTCCTGAGACGGAGAACATCCTTTTCCTGTGCTCACCCAGGTAGATGGCTGAGGCTGTGAAATAAAACCAACAAAGCAAATTAGTAATTTTGGTGGCTTAAACTAATTGCATCAGTTCTGATTTTTAAACACGGCTTAAATTGGTAACATACAGTTGTTACCATAATGCCTTATTTCTACTTGGACCAATCTTTAAAATGATTTTCATTTCATGTAACCTAATGTAGTCAAGTTGATTCAGTCATATTTATTATTATTATTATTATTATTATTACAAATATTTAAGAAATGTCAATGCTTAGAGCTTGGAGCTTGACATCATTTAAAAAATTTTTTTTGAAAAACTAAAATATTCTAAATTAGATGTTAGCACATAAAGCAATTTTTGAAGGCTAGATTTAAAAATGTAGTCAACATGGATAACCTAAAAATGTGCTTCATGTGGTCACTTCCTGTGCTGGGTTGTAACCGATTACATGTAATCTGGATTATGTAATCAGATTCCAAAAATTAAGTACTACGATGTTACATTTTAAAATGCTCAGATCAGTTACTATTTTATTGATTACATGATTACATGTTATTCACACAATGGCAGAAAATTATTCATAATTTATTGATTCTCCCCAGTTACGTTACTAACTACAATTTTCATCATGTAATCTGTAGTCATTAACTACAGGCGACAATTTATAAGTAATCGAAGTAGCACTGGTCACTTCTACAGTTAAATGGATGTTTTAGGTTAAAAAAATAGTGTTTAATTTGACAGAATCGACCTGACTATATTATGCTACACCAACAAAGGTCATTTTTAAGTGGTTTATCAGGTAGAAATAGCTACTTAAAGAAAAAAAAATCACATTGTCTCTTTATAAAATGTATTTGGACAGGCAGCCTCTACTTCTACTTGTGCTGTCAAACGATTAATCGCGATTAATCGCATCCGAAATAAATGTTTTTGTTGACATAATATATGTGTGTGCGCTGTGTATATTTATTACGTATATATAAATGCAAACACATGCATGTATATATTTAAGAAAAATATGTTTATCACGATTAATCGTTTGACAGCACTAATTTATACATTTAATACAGCTTTTTTTGAAGGAATAGCATAAAGTGTAATGTAAACATCAGTACTGCTTGTTATTTATAAAATAAGTGCAGTACATTTTTGTTCATTGCCTCCTAAATCAAACATAATGGACAGCAAGAGTTTGGTTATTTTCTAATAAATGTTTTTACTGGCCCCTTATAAGCCAAATCTACTGAAGTAATATGTGTCTTTCCCGCTGGTTTAGATTGAATCGATTGAATCAGAGGCTTTGATTTCGTATTATGAGACATGTGGTGGAAATATGTTCTGATGGGACTGCTATATTGGTATATATTAGGGTCAACTTCACTGAAGTTTTGTGGAGACTGAGTAACATTTTGTTTGGCTTTTTGATATCTCGATTGATAGGCCTGATCCAGTGTTTTGTCATTTGTGTATATCAGTGTTATGAATCTGGATGACCTGACGAGGAGAGGTCTGTACCTGAGTGATATTCCTCTTCATGACGCCACCCGTGACCTTGTGTTACTGGGGGAGCAGTTTCGCGAGGAGTACAAGTTGACCCAGGAGCTGGAGATCCTGACCGACCGTCTGCAGCACACGCTCCGAGCCCTGGAGGATGAGAAGAAGAAGACAGACAGGTCAGTCCTCTGCGGAAGCCCGTTTAAAATAAAAAAGTTTGTATCTCGCAAATCTGACTTTTAAGTCAGATATAAGCTGGCAAATGCGATTTACAAAGTCAGAACTGTGTGATATAAACTTGCAAAAGTCCAATTCTGAGGAAAAAATTACTATTTTCTTACAACTGCGAGTTTATGTCTCACAGTCTTGACTATATAACTCGCAATTGCAACTTTATATCATGCAAATATGACTTTATGACTGGCTTTATTTCTCAGAATTGCAAGTCTTGCAGTTCTGATTTCATTACACAGTTGTGACTTTATATCTCACAATTCTGACTTTATAACTCGCAATTGCAACTTTGTATCACGCAAATATAACTTTATGACTCTGACTTAATTCTGACGTTATTTCTCAGAATTGCACGTCTTGCAGTTCTGATTTCATAACACACAATTGCGACTTTATATCTCACAATTTTGACTTTTAAGTCAGATATAAGCTGGCAATTGCGATTTACAAAGTCAGAATTGTGGGATATAAACTCACAATGGTGAGTTATGAAGTTTGTGAGTTACGTTTTTCCTCAGAATTTGAGTGATATAAACTTACAATTGTGACTTTTTCTTAGATTTGCATGATTTAAACTTGCAATTACACGTTATAAAGTCAGAATTGTGAGGTATAAACTCACTATTGCGAGTTATGTATCTTGCAATTCTGTCTTTTTCTCACAATCCTCACTTCTTTTCTCAGAATTGTGAGATATAAACTTGCAAAAGTCCAATTCTGAGGAAAAAATACTATTTTCTTACAACTGCGAGTTTATATCTCACAATCTTGAGTATATAACTACATGACTATATAACTCACAATTGCAACTTTGTATCATGCAAATATGACTTTATGACTCGGACTTAATTCTGACTTTATTTCTCAGAATTGCAAGTCTTGCAGTTCTGATTTCATTACACAGTTGTGACTTTATATCTCACAATTCTGACTTTATAACTCGCAATTGCAACTTTGTATCACGCAAATATAACTTTATGACTCTGACTTAATTCTGACGTTATTTCTCAGAATTGCACGTCTTGCAGTTCTGATTTCATAACACACAATTGCGACTTTATATCTCACAATTTTGACTTTTAAGTCAGATATAAGCTGGCAATTGCGATTTACAAAGTCAGAATTGTGGGATATAAACTCACAATGGTGAGTTATGAAGTTTGTGAGTTACGTTTTTCCTCAGAATTTGAGTGATATAAACTTACAATTGTGACTTTTTCTTAGATTTGCATGATTTAAACTAACTTTATGACTCGGACTTAATTCTGACTTTATTTCTCAGAATTGCAAGTCTTGCAATATTTCATAACACACAGTTGCGACTTTATATCTCACAACTCTGACTTACATCTTGCAGTTCTGACTTTATTTCTCAGGACTGCAAGTGTGTATATCACGCAATTCTGAGAAAAGTCAGGGAAAAAGTAAAGGAAAAAAAGAATTGCGAGATGTGAATTCGTAAAAAAAAGTCAGAATTGTGAACATCCTACATCATTCTGATTTATTTTTAAGGGTTGAAGGTTGTAAATATAAAAATATGGTCTTATGGCTATGTTATGAGATATATTGCTGCACCAATAAAACGTTACTCCAGTTCGGTGTTTAGAACTTGTTTAGAAGTATTCACACACATTTTTAAACATTTAAACTGTAAATGTTATTATGCAATGGTACCTGGATTATTTTATATAGCAATAAATACTGTTGTTTAGAAGGTTGAATGAACTCAGAGTGTCTTTATCCTGAAGTTTTGTGTGTTATGTTCCGTATTTATGTCATTCATTTTCGTTTGCTATTCTTACTAGTATCTACTTTAGATGATAATCAGTAGAGACCCACAATCCAGAAAGAGGTCTGAGTGCAATAACACAGCCAGAGATGTCAAATCAAAGAGAATTAAGTTATTTTCATCTTTTCATCAGTTTAGTTTTACTGGCCATAAAAGTGGGCTCAGGCTTCATTTTGGCCAATTTTAGCTTAGCCCATTTTCCAGTTACACATGGAACCCAACTCGATGGTGATTATTATTATTGTTATTGAATATGTAAGTACAATTAGGGATCTCAAAGTTAACGCCTTAACCTATTGGTTTAAATGAAATGTTTTTGTGAAAGCAAGCCAACTCGCTTGACCTTTCCCGATCCTGTCCCCCTCTCTCACATCACTTCCTGTTCTGACGAAATAAATGCATAAAATGCCACAAATAAATCTTTAATAAAAAAATAAAATTCTTTAAATTAGATTTAAACTTTTTTTTTTTAAAAACCTTAAAACATCTTTACCATTCAAAAAACGTTATTGTTTTCCATATCTTAAAAGATGAAATAAATATGAGCACACTACATTTTTGTATGAAAATGTATAGTTAGAGGAAGATTTCAGTGAATTCAGTTGTAATAGATTAATCATGTTCCTTGCAAATATATCATGAAATTAAACGTAGTATTGTTCAATTTCCGATATTTGTGACCCTGGAGCACAAAACCAGTCTTAAGTGTCAATTTTTCAAAATTGAGATTTATACATCATCTGAATAAATAATCTTTCCATTGATGTATGGTTTGTTAGGGTCGGACAATATTTGGCTGAGATACAACTATTTGAAAATCTGGAATCTGAGGGTGCAAAAAAATCTAAATATTGAGAAAATCATCTTTAAAGTTGTCCAAATGAAGTTCTTAGCAATGCATATTACTAATCAAACATTAAGTTTTGATATATTTACGGTAGGAAATTTACTAAATATCTTCAAGGAACATGATCTTTACTTAATATCCTAATGATTTTTGGCATAAAAAAAAATGTATAATTGTGACCCATACAATGTATTGTTGGCTATTGCTACAAATATACCCCAGCGACTTAAGACATATTTTTATGCTTCTTCCCATCCCTTCTTCACTGAATGAAAACCTTTGAGAGTCTGTGTGGGGCTTACAGTAATTTCCAGAGAAATAAAATAAGCGGCTCATCTCCTCTGCGTGTCATCATTACCTTTGTACAGTAATCTGTAAATTACATTACATGTCAATCAGACCATCTCTTCCTGTCTAAATGGGCGTTTGCTGGAAACAGACTGTAGTCTGATCCGAGACCATGTGCGAGACCCGGATGCAGACCAGTACACTGAGTAATACGACTAAGGTCAATTTTAGCTCTAATGGCTAATGCGCAAACTCAGATGGCAACCTAAAGCCCTCAGCTCTGAGTCTGTAGTTTGGTGATATAATGCCGCATAGACTGTCGCAAGGCTGACGATAAAAAAATGAGCATGATATTGGTTTCGCTGATTGATCGTTTCCCCTGCGTATAGCTTTTTAAGATGGAAAATGAGGCTGTATTTGCGCTCTCCGTGGGGAGCCTCGGTCTGTGAGCTCTGTGTTTGTTTTTATAAAGCGGAGAGTTCCGGTGCTTGGCTCTGATTGGCTGAGCCGCGTCTGAAGCTGTTGTAAATGACGCTACAAAGTAACACACACCTTTGTTTACATTTGTGTGTTGCTCGGCAACCACTTTGTAGCAACCACAACTGTTTCTGAGGAGCTACATTGTTTGGTGGAAGAATACTATTTTTATTAATATCATTACACTTTATTTGCTCCGTTTTATTTTGTGAAACCTTACTACGTATATGGAATAACCGTTTTATAAAAGCAATAAACCCCGTGAAGCCGTGGTTTACAGTGAATTTATAACAGCTAAGAGGATATATATTATAACTCGTGCCTAACAACGCCCCTCAGCTGTTCAATTCACTGTAAACCACGGCTTCACGGGGCGCATTGCTTTAATTAAATCTGCTGGAGAACCTTGAACATCACCAGAGACCTTCTCTCTCATCCACACAGACAGTAAACACCAGCTAGAGCTACACAGACGCTTGTGTGCAAGTGCTATATTTTAGAATTTAAAACATTTCTGGAATTGCGAGGAATGGGCTCATAATTTTCATACACATTTAAATACGGACTAGGTTATTTTTTCATTTGTGTTGCAAATGACATTACTTTGAGTAACTGATGTGTGGTTATGTCCTGCTAAGCATGTTTTTTTTTAGTTTACTTCAAATTTACATTCTTGTTTTTTTCAGTAGTTAGGTCGCATGCATTTCTTGGAAACCTGTGACTTGTTGATAACAGGTGAACAAATGGGCCGTGTTCTGAATGTGCTGAATAGTGCAGCCTTATCTTCACTAGCAGGTGTCCTGCACTGAAACTTGCGTTTTTCAGTTTAATCCGTTCCTCAATTCAAGCCTCAAAACTGCTTAAGTTTCCTTAAAAAAAATGAGGAAAACATATCTCTTGGTTTCATTTGTGAAACGTTCTCAATATTTTCTAGATAGATAGATAGATTCATAGATAGATAGATTCATAGATAGATAGATAGATAGATAGATAGATAGATAGATAGATAGAGCTGTGATGTTGGCTTCCATCAGTTGTATAACTGAGAGATCTGAAGTTTTTTTTTTATCACAGACATTAGTATTTGTGTTTTGCCATCAGCAGTACAGAATAAGAACCGAACACATGTATGAATGTTTAAATGTAGAGAGCTAGTCCTCAAACTGCTCTGTGGATAGTTAGCACTCAACCTTCTGGGAAAGTACAGTATGTAAAAATGTAGAAATGATGCGCATTATCCCATGGTCAGCTGAAGTGAATTTCACAAAAGGATTCATTTTGTATTAGATTAAATACTATAGGTATTCTAACAACTGAAGTTAACAAATGTATTGCTTCGAGTGATTACAACGAATGTGACTATACTGATTTCCCGTCCAGTGACATTGAATGCAATGAATGCGTATTTTTCAAGAGTGCACATGATAACGACGATACCTCTTTGTTTCAGATTGCTGTATTCGGTTCTACCTCCGTCTGTCGCCAATGAACTTCGGCACAAGCGGCCCGTGCCTGCTAAACGGTACGACAACGTGACCATTCTTTTCAGCGGCATCGTCGGGTTCAATGCGTTCTGCAGCAAACACGCATCAGCAGAGGGAGCCATTAAAATCGTCAATCTGCTCAATGACATCTACACCAGATTTGACATTCTCACGGATTCTCGGAAGAATCCTTATGTGTATAAGGTGAGTGAATTTCAATCTGGAACTTGACATTTGGATCCGCGCTTTTGTTTAGTGCTTGAGGATTGATAGACGCATTGAAAAACCTTTGTAACCATGCTCGCAGACATAAACGGAGATATTTTTGGCCACATCCAGAGATCTTCAGCACACAACAGAAATAACTCTATGATTGTGACTGGGCTAAAAATATCTTGACAAAAATGACATGAATGTGTTAGCCACAAACGTTAATGCATTATAACTTGCAAGGTGCAAAATATAAAAATCTACTGTAAGTTACTTTCAGCAAGCTAACAGTAATAAAGTGTCACAGTGTACAAAAGTTCAGCTACAAAGTTCAAAGGCAAAAAAATCTTTATGATGAGTCGTTTTATGATAAATCTTTTATGATGTTCCTAATTAATAAATGAATGACTATATTTAGAGCAGGGTGTGAAACTTCTTTTAGGTCAAGTGGCAGATTAAATCTTATGTGGGCTGATTTTTTTATTTATTAAACTTTGCTGTAGGCAACACAGAGTGCATATAAAAGTACTGGGATCCAAGAGAAGCACATTGAATTTACTAATTAAATTCACCAGAGGCTTTAATAAAGCAACAATACTGATATATTTGATAACTTTGGCTTTAAGCTACAGTGAACATTAAAAAAGTTTTTGTAGCTTTGCAGAAAAATTGATGCCTTTTTCTTCGAGGTGCTTTATAAGCATAACATCTACATAAAAACAACTGTTTATGCATTGATTTCTGTACAAAATGGCTTGTCACTTGGTTTTCCGTTCTTGTCCTGTGGTGTATTGTAAGCATTGTATCTGCCTTACTGTTACATGAATGCTTTGTTTCTGTCTCTGTGTTTTCCCCATAACCAAGTTTCATTCTGTTCACCTGTTGCCTCGTTAATTAACTCATCTGTTCCTTAGTTTGCTTCGTGTACTTTAATCCTTAGTTCTGCCTTTGTCTCTGTCTGTTCTCATTGATTATAGTGTTTTTGCAAGTTTGTTTCCACTAATTAACTGAGCTTTGAATGCTCTATACCACAGTGGCTGCGATTTTACAATGTTTTTTTTTTCTTCTTTCTACCTGTCCATGTTGTCATGTTTACTATGAGCCCAAATCAACTGAACAGTTGCGTCACCCACAAATCCAGTTTCAGCTGAAAGTGCAAATTCATGCACAGGTGCCAGATGCTACGTGCAATTACTACTTCTGCTTTAAAATGTGCGCTATAATACTCAAGTTTAGCTAAAAATAGAATGTTGTGAATTGATCATAGCCATAAAAAAAAATCATAGTAGTTTATCTCCTTTGTCTTTCAAATAATTTCACATGCTGGATTTAGAACTTCCAGAACAACCATTAACAGCCATGGTTTTGTATTTTCTGTAGATTTATTAACTTTCTGTGCCTTTTAGCAAGTACTTTATCACCAACACATCATGTACAATGCTCTCTTAAAAACAAGGGCATGAGAACATGTCCTTGATTTACGTCCTAGGCGTAGAATGCACTTCATGTAGCTTTGCTAACTAAACAAAGCGGGCAGGTAGAATTTCAAGGCTGGCTCATCAAAAAAAAGCTATATTTACTTTAAGCCAACTGTATCTACATGGTCCAAAGGTCTCATGAAGGACTGGACTCTCTCTTTAGACGTTGTTGTGATGGATATGAGGTTGGAGAACAAAACACGAGGAGTTAAACTGGCAACATTTGCAGAGTGCATGGCCAGGAAAACTTGGATGAATCAAAAGTGCCCTAAAATTGGCTATCTTGGATGATAGCTTCATTTTGTAATTTTATTTGGCTGTATTCTTATCACAAACTAAGACCAGTTGTTATCTGACAGTCAAGGCCACAAAATATCGTTAAATGGTTTAATGAGTCAGTTAAATTAATTTCTCATCTTGGATATCCATTAATCAATACATGATGATTAAAAATGTTAAGTAAATACACTGCCTGACCAAAATAAATAAATAAATAAAATAAATAATAATTTGGATTTGGATTTAAATAAGTGAATACTGAAGAGTCTAGGATTGTATCATTGTTGCAGTGATTAATACATTTCTGGCATGTTCCTTTTAAAGGTGCTGTATGTAATTTTTTGACTGTACTAAGGCATAAAAATGCCATAATATGTTTGCAGACATTTAGGGAACATGCTAAGTTCACAAACTTGTTTTTCTGAAAAACAACACTACAGCTAGTTATTCTGCTTTAAATTGTGCGTTCGTGTCGGAATGTCTGGTTTTGTTTTGGTCTGTGTGACTCCGCCCACTGCCAGTTTAACCAATAGTATTTCCACACCCCGGGTTGCCAGTTGTAAGAAAACACAGCGTATTGCAGACACGGAAGCCAGCAAATGAACTGAGTCAGAGATCGTAGATTCTACTCGACCTAAAAAGCCTCGGCATCCAACTAAAATAAAGCTCTATGACCAGAGGCATATTAAAGCACGGATAAATCAACTCATCAGCTTACAGTGTAAGGCTCGTCGCCTTCCAATTTTTTTAATGGGGTTACGGTCAGGACTCTGGTGGCCAGTCTTTCACAGTTTGAGCCTGATGAATTTTTGCATATGGCATATGTTCATGGTTACGTCTTCTGACATGGTTGTTTGAGAAATTAAAAGATACATACTGCATCAGTTAGGGTTAAATAATTGTTGCCAAACACACAACATGCCAGAAACATATTAATCACTGCAATAATGATTCAATCCTAGACTCATCTATATTTGCTTATTTAAATCCAGATGGCTTTTTTGGCCAGGCAGTGCAATATGCAAATATGATTGCATCAGGTAGGTTAGTGTGAAATGTGTTAAATATAAAATTGGGCTAGGAAACCTAAAATATCCCAGTGTAGCTCATGGAAAGTCCTTTGAGGTTCATCGTACCCGCGGGCACATTAGCTGTTTTTAGCGGTCTCTGGTTTGAAACCATCTCTCTATTCTCTGACAGGTGGAGACTGTTGGTGATAAGTACATGACCGTGAGTGGTCTTCCGGAGCCCTGCACCCATCATGCAAAATCCATCTGTCACCTGGCCCTGGACATGATGGAGATCGCTGGACAGGTGAAAGTAGACGAGGATCCTGTGCAGGTGATCACTTTTCTTGACCCAGATACAAGTTTAAACAAACAGAACATTTTGTCACATTTTTATGCATGAGGGTCTTTCATTCCAGAACATCTTATCAGCTCCACACTGTAAAAAAAAATACAGTAAAATTTACGGTAAAAAATCGGCAGCTGAAATCTGTTTTGTAGCTTTGTAATACACTGATAACCACCAAATGCAGGAGGTGATGAGAAAGTCACATGATGAACCAAAGCCCATCACAAGCAGCTTTTAAATAATAACATATATAGAAGGTGCACAGCGTCATTCACACAAACACTAAACACCATCACGGTAACACACATGAAACTGAAATAATGCAGTAAACATTCATTTAACAACATTAGGTGTAACACACAACCCTTATATACAAAACTGATAAGAAAAGACTAAGAACAAACAGTTATTTCAACAAAAAAACATCACATTTGAAATGTTAAAACTTCTAAAAACGGTATACTACCGTAAAATTAATGTCCAATACATGTAATGTCCAATACAGTTTTTCACCGTATATAGTAGGGGAATTTACCGTTAACCATTTAACAGGTTTTTACTGTAACATTTTTACAGTTTTTACAGATAAATTCACGGTAATTTTTTATAGTGCAGGATAACGGAGTATCATTTTCATTCTCAGAATAGCTGAATTATGTGGACGCAAAATCAGAAAAGTGTTTGCTCAAATCTTATCTTAGCCTGCTGACTGTAAGATTGAGTCTATGTAACAGAGAACATTACAGCGTCGTCACATGAACAAGAATGTCCAGTGCTTTACTAATTATCAGTACTGTTGGGATGCTTACTACAGTTTGTATTATTTGGTGCCACTGGAACTTCTGTTTTAATTTTTCTGGTTTTAATGGTTGAATTAAATTGTAGTAATCAAAATTAACACATCTAATTAGCTGAAATTATAAAACATCAAATGTAACAACAGTGTCTTTGTTTATGCATATAAGTGTGTATGTATGTATGGATTTCAGAAATTCTGTGTTTCCTGTTTTAATTCTTCTGGATGTATGATTTAATACAACTTTATTATCAAAAATGGAGTTAATCAGATGAAGGCATAAAACATTAACTTTTAAAATATAATCAAATGAAGATTTAAATGTTAACATAGAAATAAATTAAGTTTTAATAATTGTATTATTATTATTATAATTACTTTGAGATGTACATTTATTTCTGTCAAAATTTCTTCAAGTTAAACTGACTTTTATTATGACGGGTTGTTGTGAAGACAAGTTGTGTGTATGTGATATGCCGACTACACTATAGAGATTTCATTAAGTGTACAGCACTACTTTTGATTTATTCATCCAAGATTTGCCCAATTCTGAGACATTCCATGTCTTACAGTAAATTCCATTTTTAGGATTGGATTCCGTGATTTAGTCAGCCACACTGTTAAAAAAAAAAAGATCTCACAATATAATACATATTGAAGCCATTTTTTACCACTGAATAAAAAATAAAAAAGGTAATTGTGACTTTTTATCTCGCAATTCTGACTTTCTTCTAGCAATTCTGACTCAGAATTGCGTGATATAAACTTACAATTGCGAGAAATAATATGAGAATAGCAATTTTCTCAGAATTGCACGTTTATAACACACAACTCTGACTTTACAGCATGCAATTGCGAGTTATAAAGTCAGAATTGTGAGCATTCAGTGGTGGAATTCCATATAATACACAAGTATATACTGGTCATTGTGTATTTATAATTGAATGCATAAATAAATTCTGAATGTTTATACTTGTTTAATGCGCTGCCTCATAGCATCAATTAAACGACATATCTTGCATATTTTGTGCACCATGCTGTCCTTCATGAAACACCCCCATCATAAAACATGCTGCTGCGCTTTAGCCAGTGTATTAAGGATGCTTTATGATTTCTAAGAATAGCTCTAGAATGCATCTCAGAGGTGTTCGATGTGTCTGCGGTAAAGTCTCTGTAAAGGCTCTTTTGTTTAACCAGATGGCACAGGTATGTTATTATATGTGCGACTGTTGAAGATGTGCCTCTGGAACACTAAGAGCATCTAAATTAGAGACGACTGTATTAGGCGAATGGCACAGACACTTTCACACACACACACACACACACAATCACACACGCACACACACTCACACTCACACTCACACACACACACACACACACGCACACGCACTCACACTCACACACGCACACGCACACGCACACACACACACACACACACAATCACACACAATCACACACACACACACAATCACACACGCACACACACTCACACTCACACTCACACACACACACACACACACACACACACACACACACACACACACACACACACACACACACACACACACACACATACAATCAC